CCATTTCCCATGCAAATGCTGAGTAATGTGATTCCTCAAAATTTGTGCATACAAACAAGTTTGTATATGTTTTGTTGTTGCATTGTCTTTTACGGAACAGCCATATTGTTTTCCCCAATTCATCGCGGTCATTTCTTTGGCATCGAGTTGGAGTTCTGGGTTGTTTGAACAAGAGGAAGGGACAGGTATCTCCGTTCATACGATTGTATGATTACATGTTAGAGGATCCGCTCTCTTGCAATGCAGCAAGCTCGGCTTCACTGTACTTACGGGACTGTCGAAGACCACTAAGGTTCATCATATATGTCAAATGCCAGATGGAATGGCATCTGATGACACGGCCTGTGGTTTCAATGTACGCTATGTTGATCTGTGCATTATGAAGTTCACACGTGGCTTGGATGACGTTTACTGGTGCAAGATGGTGTGAAGTAAACTCATGTATTTTTGAATCACTTTTGAGGATGCACTGTCACTCAAAAGACACCCAGAGGCCTCTCCTTGACAATCATCCGCGTCTTGATTCTTGCTTGCCTGCACGATATTTGATATCCAAACTGACGTAGCAAGGTGATAACCAGCCGCATAACTCGTTGCGTCTAGTTTGGCTTTGGTTAGGACGTATCGGCAAGGGTTTATTATCGGTCATCACATTGTGACAACCATTGCCCATTAAGTCATCGTGGAAGTTCTCCGTGAACGCCACTTGAGAGCTACAAAATTCAACTTAAGGACTGGATAACGAGGATTACTTTAGAGAGACCGCGGCTTGCTATACGCAATGACACGTGACTGACCTCTTTTGAATCTGGTATAACGCGCACCAAGCTGTTGTAATCGCGTCAGTGTGTAACAACGTATGGCTAATCTGGGATTTTGCAAACCTAAAAATGGTGCGGACGTCAATTTTCATTTAAAGTTCCCAAAGCTGTTAGGCATTTTTGTCCCACCTTCCACGGAATCGGTTCTTTTGGTTGAAGTACTTTGCAGCCCAAATTGGTGATTTTAGCCCCCTATTTGCAGTACTGGTGGGTACCCAGCCGTCAGTTTGTTTTAAGGGTTTTACAATCTTAGAGTACCCCTTACAAACCTACGATAAAACCCTGAAAACCCAGAAATGACCATCGGTCTTTTAAGTTTGCGGTCTTGGCAGGTCTTTAATGCTTCGGTCTTTTGGGGAACGGTCTCAACTACACTTCGGAGACAATGTGGGCTATATAGCGGAAATGCTTGTTTGCGAAAAAGCGGCATAATTGTCAGGTGACAAACTTATGCCATTTTCACGCAAGCGATTTAACACTCATTGGTCAGTCGGGTTGCATGTTCCTTCGCGTGTTTTGAAAATACAATTATTATCCATAAGGAACACAAGAATACCAGACGCAAGTTGATGTCCCCCATGCTATCTTTATTAACGCTGGAATTGTGCTGGGCGCGTTTGTGATGCCTTGTGGCATTCTATTTCCCACTCCAAAAGCCAAGGGGGCATACCGAACTGCTGTTTGTTTCATTGTCACTCTTGCCAGTCATCTTCAATATGATAGTATCACTTTCAAATCACATGACTGTACACCATTGGGGATCATTGAGGGCAGAAATGACTCTCAGGGTTGCGGTATGCATATGATCCTTGATTGGCTCGGATGTGTTTAACCGCGATAGTCCCCACTCAATTCGGACGTCTCCATTTTTCTTTTTTCGCAACGACTAGGGCGATGCAAAGGGAGATTGGGCTTCCTAATGATTCGGCCCAAGGAGTGTTCTGCAAATGAGGTTCCACGGGTCATAGTCCCTGTGGATGTATCGCCGTGGCGTATGTTGTGAAAGGCCGTCTCATCCTTTCGTTTTTTGGACAGTTTGACTTTTTTGCATGCCGAAATCTAGATCGTGAATGCGAAAAGTGTCTGAATAAACATGTTTTAACTTTTCTGTCATGTGAGACTTTCCATTCTTCGGGACGTGGAAGCAACTACCCAAAATTCAAAGTACAGTTTTGATACTTGGACTTGCTGTCTGTTGGTTAGTGGGTGCTGTTTGACAGCTGCAAACTAGCTGGGTTTTTGTGTGGCATAACTTCTTTAATCAGGCTAAGTTCGCCAATGACCCACCTAACGGGTAAAGGAGATCTCCCGATCAGTCTCACTCAAAACTACAGGTACTTTGAAAGGAGAGTCTCTTGGAAGATTTATGAGACAGCAGTCAACAAAAATTCCACCAGGCAAAGAAGACACTGTAGGTTGTTCAAGAAGCACAGATTTATCATTTGTTACATTGTCAATGCTTGCATATCCCTCGAGCGCAACTTTCTGACCAGCAGGGATTACGCTTGGTTCAGAATTTTTCAGATTTACAAGACCTAAATGGCCATCTGAACTTTGTTTGTGCCTAATCTGAAGAGTTCTTAAGACTTGGTGGTAGCCACAATACGAGACTGGTCAGAACTGCCTTATCATCACAGAACTGATCGTAGAGTGGGTCAAGTGCGTTAGTTCCGATTAACAATGGAGTTAGACTATTGGAACGAACGTCTGGCACTACAAGAGCAAGAGTCTCGATCTCAGGCTGAATGGCAATGAACTCTTTTGGGAACTGGAGTCTAAGTTTAACATAGCCAAGGTATGGCACTGACTGGCCATTTGCCCCTTCAATCTCTAATAGGTCAGCAACAGGGTGAATGACATGTTCTGTAAGGTAACTGTCATAAAATGACTGTGACACAGTAGTTACCTGAGAACCTGTATCAAGCAATGCATTACACTCAAGCCCATTTACTTTAACATTTGCTGTGCTCTTACTCCCAACTAGGCCTTTTGGAAGGATTCTGTTCTGTGTTACTCTGTGTTCTTTGATTTTAGCTTTTGGTTTTGTTCTTGGTTCAGTTGTGGGACATTCATTGGTTTTTGTTCCTATTTGTCCCTCAATAGAAACATTGTTCAGTTTAAATGTTGTTCAGGGATTGGATTTTCTTTTTCCCAAGCTTGTTGTCTTCCCTTTAGCAGAGTTCTCTTTGCGGACACAAGTGTGGGATTTGGAGGATCATTACAGCTCGTGGCAATATGCCCGTCCTCACCACAACGAAAACAGTACCACGGTTTTGGTCTTTGTTTTACTTTTGCAGCTGCGGTTTCTGAGGTAGGTGTTGATGTAATTTTTAGCAACTGGTTTCTCTTTTTGTTTCTCTTTCTGCTTTTTCTTTGCAGGTTTTTGGAAAGTGGAAGAATCTTGTTTTGGAGTTGAAAGAGCAGCTATTTGCGCTTGCAAGTTGACAATTTGCTTTTGAATCTGCTCCACAACTGATGGGGGGTTTGAGAAGGACGGTTCCGTTTCAAAAGTGTTTGCAAAATAGGCTTCATGCATGTTTGTCGCTGCCTGTGTCTTTGGTTTTTGAAACCCTAAATGTTGTTTCATCCTGTTTGCTTTTGCTGTTTGTTTGTCCTCCTCTGTTCTTAGAAGGAGCAAAAACGCTGGAAAAGTAGGCGGGTAATCTTTTCTTTGCTCAAGTTGAAGGGAATTGATCAGTGCATTGTTCCAGCAGCCTCTACAGAACTGTTTTAGGAGCTGCTTGTCTGAATCTTGGGGTGAAATGGTTTTCATTTTCACAACCCGAATCAACAGTGTCTGCAATCTTTGAAGATAGTTGGAAGGTTTCTCGCCAGAGTTTTGATTGACATTTAGAAACTGGGCGAATAGCTCATCGCCATCTTCCACTGTGGCGTAGGCCGAGTCAAGCAGGTCTAGAAAAGCTTTTGGATTAGCATGGGGACCTAATGACTTGACCACAATTGAGGCAGGTGGCAATAAACTATCAACGATGCGCCTAACAAAGCTGGCCACTAGGGATAGTAGGATCAGCTAAGTGGCATTCAATATTGCTCCTCCAAGTATCATAATCCACCTCAAAATTTGGGCAAGGGACTCTGCCAGAAAAGGGTCTGAGTTTCACTGGGGCATGTATCTGTGAAGAGAGGTCTGAACTTTTGACAATGTGTTCAACAACTACACGCTGAACTTCAGGAGGATTAAGCAGTTCAGGAGTAGGGAGAAAGGATGGGGCTGATGCTCTTAAGGTTGGCATAGTCGGCACATTGGTTCTGAAGGTTGTGTTTGGGGATTCATTAGGTTGGTTTTGGTCGTTAATCTCAGAATCTGTTTGAGTGGCATCAGGGGAAACAGGACCCTGATCAGCTACAGAAGGTGCTACTATTGTGCCCTGAGCATGTGACTCTTCGCCCAGAGGGGTTTCGGTAACTAGACCCGTAATTCTAGTTAGTTCGTCGCGCAACAGGGTCTCAAAAGGTTTTCCACTGAGTTTTGCAATGTTTTGGAGCTCTGACATGAATGATGCTGTGAGATCGGTACCTTTTTGAGTAGAGTATACACTAGCTAACGCTTCAATGTGGAAGACAACACTAGTATCTAAATCACTTGTTCTATCAAGAGGTAAATCTTTCTCAAGTGTCTCCACTGCAGCACCAGAAATATACTCTACAATGACCATACCAAAAAAATCAGAATTTGCATCTGAAACTTTGATCAATCTGCCAATTGCTCCATATTGCTTTAGAAAGTCTGTAATGTCTTCATCGACATTAGTATTGGTCAACCCTGATACAATGACAGCATTGGGAACCTTCACATTTTCTTTTTCTATTACATCCATTTTGGTGAAACTTAAAAGTTGACACCTTTAACACGTAAAGAGTAACGTTATTGCTATACAAAGCTCCTGGCTGGCTCGCCAATTTTTTTACCGTGTAACCCACTTCAAGGTATGTACACGTTGGACCTCTAGGTTCGTAGGAGCTGAGGATAGCAATAAACACCGCACACAAATAGTTAAATCAAATGTGACTTTTAGTTAAGAAAATGAAAATAGTGCACATACATTTTTAAATAAAATCTATGGGCCCAACTAAAAATAAAATTGTCTTTAGGAAAAATGTTCTTCCCGGAATTTGTGTTCAATGTTCAAGTCAATATAGTCAGGGGAAATAGTCAAGTCAGGGAATGTAGGTACTCGTTGACTGTTGAAGACTCTCGTTGGTGTCCATCAGTGGGACTGACACAATCCTACCACAGCATCTGCAGGAACGGTGGTAGGACTCAGAATTCGACTGGGAGGCTCGCCATCGATGATTCTATCCCTCAACCTCGTTGTACTCCAAGGCTGGGATCTCTCAGTATCACGGCCTCACAAAAAGACCTGACCAAGTTTCACTTCGGGAGATTCAGGACAAATAAAAGTGCTTCCTCAACGGTTCTCCAACCTCTTACGATGTGTTTTTATCAACCAACATGCAAGAGGGGAAAGTAGAGCAGTTCGTCGAGTGAGCGCCATAAAGCTAACTGCGGTTTTGCATACTACTTCCGGTTTTACGGCAAAATAAAACTTCCGGTTTTCAAAATAAAAATGTAAAATAAACTTTTCTACATAAATTATAATAAACCCTTTTAACCAGGCGGGTTACACGCCCCTTGCCATGTCCTCCCAGCACTTTTAAAGTCTGTCATAATTGTCCTACATGTACCGCAGGTGCGCAGTGCCAATGACAGACTTGTGGGTGGGCCTGCACTCCATTACACCGCACACATAACTTCAACACATACCCAATAAAATCATGCGTTAAATAAAAACGATCAATGAAGTCATGCAGTAATGATAAACACAAATCTAATAAAAACATGCAATAAAAACAAGGGTGCATTAAAAGGCCATGTCCCACACCCCCCTACACTTTACTGGTGCCAGTCCCTGGACCACTGTTCATTTTAGTCTCTGTAACGAGCAGGGCACAGTCCTCGAGTGCTTCGTACCGGTCGACTGGGTGCTTGCTCTGGCACAGCATCTACTACCGGGTAATAGAACACCCAGGGCGGTTCTTGTACTTCAGCCCGAGCTTTTGGCTGTCCTACAGGCTGGTTAATGGAAGGAGCAAGGCATGGTTTTAGGGCATTTCTGTGCAAGGTCCTCTCTTTCCCACCCTTCTCTGGTCTGACTCTGTAGGCTAGCCCCGAATCACCAGCTAAGCCACATATTACGTAGGGCTCCTGTTGCCACCAACTATGTAATTTACCATGATCTTTTCTGTTCCTATCGCGTACCCACACTCGTTCACCAGGTAAAAGGGCATTAGCGTTCGCCCTTCTATCATAGTACTTTTTGTCATGGCTGGCTGAGTCAGCCATTTTCTTACAAGCCAAATCATATGCACGGGAGAGCTTTTGATGGTGTGCTGCGACCCATCCCTCCAAATCATGCCGCGGCTGCCTATCCACAACCCCCAAGTGAACGTCAACAGGGAGCCTGAGATGACGCCCAAACATCAGGTAAGATGGTGCAAACCCGGTGGAGCCATGAACAGTGTTATTATAAGCGTGCATTAGCTCAGGGAGGTACTCTGGCCATCTACTGTGTTTCTCTACCTCCAGCGTGCGAAGCATATTTAGGAGGGTTTGATTCATTCGTTCAACACGGCCATTACCCGCAGGGTGGTAGGGAGTTGTGTGGCTTTTAGAAATACCGTACATGCTACACAGCTGTTTCATGAGGTCTGATTCGAAATTTGGCCCTTGGTCGGAATGGAAACGTGACGGGCACCCAAAGTGTTGTATGATATTCGACCAGATTGCACGGACAGTTGTTGTAGCGGTTTGATCCCGAGTTGGAGCAGCCCAAGAATAACGCGTAAACATGTCTGTCATGACTAAAATATTCTGGTAGCTGTCATGGGGTCTGCGCAGGGAGAGGAAGTCTAAAGCTACTACCTCTAGAGGGTACGATACCTCTATGGGTCGGAGAGGGGCCCTTTGCTCAGTCCTGTCCTTCTGTAAACTACACACCGCGCATCCCGTTTGGAACCCCTGCACCTCCCTTTCCATGCCTGGCCAGAAGAAATGGCGCCTCATGCGAGCGAGAGTCCGTTCCACTCCAGCATGGGCCGCTGCTTCATGGCATTTCTTCCACACCTGTTGCCGTCTGGATTCTGGGCAGATCATTTGGAAACAGGGCTCACAAGTACGAGAATCAAACACTTTCCTACAGAGGATCCCTCGATACAAGCAAAGTCTCTTTCGGTGCTGTAGCAGCTTTTTAGCGGCCTCTGACAGGGCTTCTCTTTCTCCTCTGCTTGGGACAGTTCCAGTCTCCACATACCTCTGCACAGAGCTGATATCAGAGTCCATCTTTTGGAGGGCTCCCCAGTCCCTTCCAAACTCTTGCGTGGTGGAGTCCATTTGGGCAGCTCCACTGGTCACTGCGGCAACACTGGTCACGGCGCTGTCCTGGGCAGATCCTATAGGAAACCTAGACAGTGCATCGGCATTCGCATTCTCGCGTCCAGCTCGATATTTCACCTCAAAATCAAACGACGACATTTGGGCGACCCACCTCTGCTCCGTGGCCCCAAGTTTAGCAGTTTGCAAGTGGGCAACTGGGTTGTTGTCAGTGAACACAGTAAACTTAGCGCCGGTTAAATAGTCTTTAAATTTTTCTGTGATTGCCCATTTGAGCGCCAATAGCTCTAGTTTGAAGGAACTGTAGTTCGCATCATTCTTCTCTGTAGGATGTAGACTACGGCTCGCATAGGCAATAACACGCTCTTTCCCGTCCTGGGACTGAGCCAGCACTGCGCCAAGCCCGCTGTGACTTGCGTCCGTATACAGGTTGAAGGGCTTGGTGTAGTCTGCATAGGCAAGAATGGGAGCCTGAGTGAGAGCCTGCTTTAAATACTCAAAGGCAGCTTGACAGTCTGCAGTCCAAGCCATGGTTCTAGGGCTAGACTTTTTATCATGGGGGATGCCAGTCAATAGAGAGTTCAATGGGCGGGCAATTTTGGAAAAACCCTGAATGAACCTTCTATAATAGCCCGCCAGGCCCAAAAAGGCCCTCACCTCTTTAACGGTGGAAGGGACTGCCCACTCTGTCACTGCAGTCACTTTCGCTGGGTCGGGCATCACACCAGCCTGGTTGACTACATGGCCTAAGAACTTCACTTCCCGTTGAAGGAGTCTGCACTTGTCTGGCCTCAGTTTAAGTCCATTTCTCCAGAGGCGCTCAAAAACTTCCTCTAGGTGTCTCATGTGAGTGTCAAAATCAGGGGAGTACACAATAATGTCATCTAGGTACACTAGGAGGGACTCTGTGATTTGGCCAATTAGGCATTGTTGCATTAACCTTTGGAATGTAGCAGGTGCATTGCAAAGGCCAAATGGCATTCGTTGAAACTCAAACAAACCAAGGGGCGTGGAAAACGCAGTCTTTTCCCTGTCCCTGGGGTCAACTTCCACTTGCCAATACCCACTAGAGAGGTCCAATGTGGAGAACCACTCCGCCCTGGAGAGAGAGGTCAGAGTCTCCTCAATCCTGGGAAGAGGGAAAGCATCTTTATGAGTGACATTATTCAATTTGCGATAATCAACACAAAATCGCCAGGTCCTATCCTTTTTCTTAACCATGACAATGGGTGAAGCCCACGGACTGGAGCTTTCGGCTATCACACCTTTGTCTAACATGTCTGCTAGTAGGGACCTCATCTCTTTGTACATGAGTGGGGGCAAGGATCTAAATCGTTCCCTAGTGGGGCATGCATCTCCCGTGGGAATGGTGTGCATGACGGCGTCCGTCCGACCAAAATCCTCCTCATGTTTCGAAAACACCGTCCCCCATTTCTGTAAGAGCATGGCCAGCCTGTCAGATTGTTCTAGCGTCAAATCTGTTCTATCAAGGGGGGCTTCCATATCAAACGTCTCAGTTCCAGGTCCCCCTGCTTCTACCAGCCCAACCTCAATTTCGCCATCGCCATTGAGGATCAGGTCTACATCGCACGCACCATAGACATCTGAGCTGTCCACTTGATACAGGCGGCCAATCTTCTGGTAGCGTCCAAGTGAAATGGGGAAATTATTCAAATTTCTAAGGCGGACAGGGATCCTACCGTCTCTGACGAACACTAGCGTGCGGGCTACACAAACAGCGCTAGTCTCTTCAAGGGCCTCTACTAGGCCACAGTAGTCCTTCCCCGCTGGTCCAGCTCTGGTCCGTCCCCAGATGACAATCTCACTCCGCGCAAGGATCCTGACTCCTCGCCTTTGAGCTGGCCAGACATATACAATACAATACAATACAATTTATTCTTGTATAGCCCTAGGTCACAACAGAAGTCATCTCAGAGGACTTAACAAAACTATTGAAATCACCAACACAGGTCAGAGAATCAACAGCCAAAACACATGGAGAATATAAAGCACACACAGAAGAAAATGTCCATACATGTTGTAGAATGCTAAAGTGTCCTGATCATCACCAATCCTTTCTGTTGGACACTAACTGTCCAACAAGACCCTCCTGCATCGACAAGGAAAAACTCTTAAAAAACCCAGTGGGAAAAAGTGAGAAACCTTGGGGAGCACTAGGGAAACCCACAGGGAGGGAGACCCATATGAGAAAGGGATCCGCTCCTCCGGACGGACAGGCTAATGATCTAGGACCTAAGCTAGCTACAGGACGTGGACCAGTGGCCGCTGAACGTGGACAGGTCCGGTGCAGGACCGAAGCACTCCCAGGCGGGTCGGGCGGGGCAGTCCGCAGGTGCAGATGGAGGAGGCCAGGCTCAGAGATCCCGTCATCGTACCATGAAACAGACAATGGGACAAAGGGTGAATAGCAATGAACAAACTACAGTCAGAATCCTAAAAGTGCTAAACAGATAAAGTAGATAAAGTAGGAAGGAGGAGAGGATAGTGCTCAAGTTACCATACTTCTCCCAGCAAACTGACTCCCTATGCAGCTTGACTGACACTCTGAGGAGTTTAGCCTTCCCAGAGTCTTACCTTCCTAGCCATATGCTAAACTAAAGAGGACTGTTTTAAACCTAGCCTTGAATAAAGAGATTCATGGATTGCACACCAGGTGTGCAAACCGATCCAAGCAAACCTAATTATATATTATATATCATATACATCATATATACCATACATACCATATATATCATATATAATACACAACATAACATACAGCATAATATACAACATAACACAATACATTATTGTATAATATATAACATAATACAGCATACATATATAATATATACCATATATTTTATATTACCTAATTATATGCTAAATTAAAGTAAAGTGCTTTAAGCCTGGCCTTGAATGTGGAGACCGTATCTGCTTCCAAATGGGAAGCTGATTCCACAGTAAAGGAGCTTGGTAGCTAAATGCTCTGCCACCAACAGTGATTTTTGAGACCTTAGGGACCACCAGACGTCTGGCGTTTTGAGAGCGCAACGCTCGACTTGGTTGATACGACACCAACGTGTCTTGGAGATAAGAAGGAGCCAAGCCATTTATGGCTTTATATGTTAAGAGAAGGATTTTAAACTTTATTCTGTACTCCACAGGGAGCCAGTGGAGTGATTTTAACACCGGAGTTATGTGCTCCCTCCTTTTGGTACCTGTTAAGATCCTAGCTGCTGTATTCTGAACGAGCTGGAAGCTCTTCAAAGACGCTTTAGGGCACGCTGCCAATAAAGCGTTACAGTAGTCGAGCCTTGAGGTGACAAACGCGTGAATGAGTTTTTCCGCGTCACTTTTAGGAAGGAAATTCCTAATTTTAGCGATGTTCCGTAGGTGGAAGTACGCCGTTTTAGTTGCTTGGCTTATATAAGCCTTGAAGGAGAGTTGTTGGTCAAAAATGACTCCAAGATTCCTCACAGTGTTACTGGGTATAATACTGACATTATCGAGAGTAATTAGATAACATATCCTCTGAACCCATCCTCAGTGCAGACAGCGGTCTTTTGGCACAGGGTGAATGCATCTCTCCACGCTTGCTGGGACCCTGGGCTTTGACAAGAGAATGACAAAGGCTCCTCTGGGTTATTAAAAACAGCATCCCAACATGATCTAATAATGTTCATGCCAATTATGAAAGAATTTGAAGAGCATTCATCGGTCACAATAAAAACACCTTTTTGATTGATTTCAACGCCCTCGATTTTAAAGTCCATCAGCGCGTACCCTATGCAGGGGATCTTTAAGCCATTTGCTGCTTTTAGTTTAACATAGGCTGGCACATTGTTTACACTATACTCTGGGAAATGCTTCAAAAATAAACCTTGCTGTATCAGTGTAACTTGTGACCCAGTGTCTAAAAGTGCCTCCATGTTAATGCCTCCTACTGACACTTCCACGTAAGGGCAGTTTCCCACTAAAGCTGTTGTGGCCCTTTGGTCTCCTCCCAGACCAGACCCCACTGCATAGGCCTCGGCAGTAGGGTGATCTAGTTTAAAACCGGCTGATCTGCTGGAGCCATGTTGCAAAATCTGGCAATGTGGCCAGGCAAATTGCACTTCCTGCAAATGGGTCTACCTCTTTCATCCCGTCGGTCAGCAAACTGAGGGTTGTACCTTCTTTCGGTTGAGCGCTGGGGGGCTTTGCGATGTATGGGCACGTGTACAGGGCTGTTTGGTCTCAACTCCCGGAGGAGTTCACGAGTGAAGTCCTTCAGTTCGTCTACGATCTCCCGCTTTAGCTCCTGCTTCCACAATTCAGCCTGTGGGTGAGATCTAGAGGGGTTATGTTCCCTTACTGCAGCGCAGGTAGCGTGGGGTGACCTTGAGCCCAGGTTTTCTTCCTCTAGAATGAGGGCCTCTTGCTGTATGGCACTAAACGTGGTGTCTGGGGCCAAGCGGACAACTCTCTTTAGTGCCCGCAATAAGGCGCCATCCTCCAGGCCAAGCATGAACTGGTCTCTCAGGTGAGAGTCTGTCGGGGCCTGTTCTGTATCTTGTTCCTCCAGCCTATGATACAGCTCCTTTAAACGCAGTACATACGATTGAACAGGCTCTCCCGGCTTCTGCACACAACCAAAAAATTGAGACCGTACAACAGACAGAGGGATGATTTTCGCATAAAGCTGATCAAGTGCTGCAAACACTTTGGTAACCCGGTCACGCTCATCCTCAGCCAGTACATTAATCTGCCTTCTAGCCAGCCCAGACAATGCCCCAATTACAATTTTAACTTTTTGAGCTTCAGCCAAATTGTTAGACTCCAAAAGACCTTGTATTTGCTCCTTCCATTCAGAGTACTTCAAATTCCCATCTTGGCCTTCAAATTTAGGCACCCATGGAGCCCCTGGGTAAATTGGCATCATCATCATGATTAAAAATTTATGTTAAAAACTTCCAAAAATAAATAAAAACTCTGGTTTAAAACACTGCTCACGAACCTGTGATCCTGCCAGCGAACGCCAGATTCTGTGACCGAGGAAAGGAATAAATTAATTTATCATAAAACCAAATCACAAGTTGAAAGGTCAGCAACGCCACCTAGGTTGAGGACCTAGGACCTATTTTAAAACACAGGTATAAAATCACTGGAGTGAGCAGTGCAAAATAAACCAGGTACTACGATAAAAAAGATTTATTACAATAAAAAAATGTTAAAATGAGCAGGCGAGTGCCATAAAACCAGTCAGTGCAAGAAGAGATTAAAATGGTCAATTAAAAACAGGTCCCAGCGCGTAGCTGGTCAGCCCAGGTTCTTCTAGCGAGCCGGGTCCAGCGAGGCCGAGCTTTTACCACGGACCCTGGAGGCAGAGCACAACCAAACAGAAAGCGCACACACACCCCAAAGAGTCCCCCCGCCAAAGGCTACTTCATGAACACCACTACTCAATGTGTTAAGATACTCACACGCAAAGGCAGAGCGTCCTCTGCCTTCTGCGGTAGTTCAGCTTCGTGGTGTTCTCTGTGGCCTCGTGAGGCGAAGGCGATTACTGTGGTCCAGGTCCCGGTAGTGTGCTGTGCCGCCCCGTGTTCTGCTCTCTCGTATTGCTGCGCTGTGGCTCGTCCCGCGGCGCTGTGGCTCCCGTGCCTTTTCCCTTTCCTTCTTTTTGCGCCCCTTGCCATGTCCTCCCAGCACTTTTAAAGTCTGTCATAATTGTCCTACATGTACCGCAGGTGCGCAGTGCCAATGACAGACTTGTGGGTGGGCCTGCACTCCATTACACCGCACACATAACTTCAACACATACCCAATAAAATCATGCGTTAAATAAAAAATCAATGAAGTCATGCAGTAATGATAAACACAAATCTAATAAAAACATGCAATAAAAACAAGGGTGCATTAAAAGGCCATGTCCCACATCATAGTGACACCATCCCTGTGGGATCCCAGCCTTCTGCTCTGGCTTTTATTGATCCATCTTAAACGCAGATCCAAAATCGTTCAATGCTAGCGCTCATTTCTGGCCCCTGTGAGCTGTCAGTCAGTCCTTTGCTGTCTCTGGGTTCTGCTGCATCATGCACAGAGCCCCAGGGGAAATATCTCATATCAACACAACAAACCTCTGGAGACGGAGACTCGGATCTGAAGGAAACTTAGAGCAAATAAAGACATTTCGGCGCTGGGCCGTCAGATGGGGGAAGTCTGGACCGACGTGGGGAGAGTAGTTACAAAGGGAATTATTAAAGTGTGGCTAGTGGAAAGTTCTGAACTTTACTTTGAAACCGTCTTTGAACTCAGCTTCAGACTAGCTCACCTTTTGAATTGTGTTATCTTGAACGATGAGACGTCGTGTTCCAAGATGTTACGTGTCTCTCACTCATTTATCTTATCAAGCAATCAGGCTTTGGAAGACTTTTGCTAAACACTCCATCCACTCAAAATATCCCCCATCTCTGTACTCATTCTAGTTGAAGGTAATTCATATTTTTTGGGGAGCAATGTTGGTTATGCATCGTAATCTGTTGCTGCATAGGGGTTTAGGCACATGAGACTCTGCAGACACTGTATGTAACAATTATATTTATTTTATATCACCCTTATACGTGAAATATGGGTTTGGCACTGACAGAAGACTTCATAACCAATACCGAGAGGGGAAATAGAATACTACCCCTGGTGGTAGTTAAGGAGAGGGGCCAAAAGATTGGAAATGTTAACGTGATACCATGTAAACCAGGCTTGAATAACAACATTAAAACCCACCAAGGCTCAAAGTTGGTGTACTATTTCTTCGAAGACACTTTTCTGCTGGAAGTGTGGTCACTCTTATGCAGGAGTGTCCAAGAACTGGACCAGCTTCTGTGGCTCCGAGAATGGACTTTAAAGCAGCTCTGCGTGTGGACAAGTCTCTCCATGGCCTCGCACCAAAGTACATCCCAGACATGTTAGAGCCATAAGAACCAACTGGCAACAGCAGGAACACAGGGACTAGCCTCATGCTGGTGTCCAGAGTCAGGACTGAACATGGCGAGGCTGCTTTCAGATGCAGTGGTCTTCCTGAAAATGGGAGACAGGCTTCTTCTCTGACAATGTTCAAATCCAGGTTAAAAAAAGAAATCAATTCTGTTGCTGCTGTTTCTGCAACAACTGGAGGATTGTATCTTCCCTAAATTTAATGCATAATTCTTTTGTGTTTTGTATAGCACTTTGAGTTGAACTGTTCTCTACAACTTAACTTCGGCATATACATGATCAAGGACCATATACACCTTTTTCCCTTTTGTTATTCAAACCTCCCTTTGCCATCGTCATTATCACTGCATAAGTTGGCTGCCTCTCTGTAAAAGGCTGGCAGTGGGCTGGAGTAGGACAGGCCTGTGTCTCTGCAGCTCGGAGCCCAGAGCTTGAATATTAACGGCCGCCTCGGGGGAGACCTGCAGGATTTGGTGAGAACTTCCAGGGAAACTTGCATTGGCAAACCTCGACATTCTGTTTCATGATTTGTGCATCATCAGAAGGCTTTTATCTCAGGATGTGCCCCAGATAGACTCCAGCAGGTCGCCAGTAAATATTGAGTTAGGACTTGAACAAAAGTTGAAATTGTAGTTTTTTTCTGTCTGCACAGTCCTGGATTGGTATACAGCCTCAAACCGAAATCTAAAGCCTCAGACCTACCTGGATCTACAGCTTAAATCCTGGGTCTACAGCCTCAGTCCTAGATCTACAGCCTCAGTCCTGGGTCTACAGCCTCAGTCCTAGATCTACAGCCTCAGTCCTGGATCTAAGGCCTCAGTCCTGGATCTACAGCCTCAGTCCTGGATCTAAGGCCTCAGTCCTGGATCTACAGCCTCAGTCCTGCTCCCATATTTGCTCCGCTAATGAAAAAAACCTCTGCTTTAACCTGAAGCCCCAAACAAGGGAAAAGAAGGAGGCTTTTTCTTCTGATTTGACTAAAATGAGGGGAAAAGTTTCAGATTGACTTTTTCTTCAAACTTTGAAGAAATAAGCATGTGATTGATTTATCTTTTATGTTCTTTGTGAGGCGTGCAGCAGCGGAGGAGCCTGCTGTAAACATCATATTTCAGGTCAATGAAGTCAAGTCCAACAATAGATAGATTTAATTAACTTTATTAATTTAATACAATACTGTATGACAGAGGAAATGTGGAAATAATTGTATATAATGATAATAATGACTCTATACAATAAATCCAACACTTAGTTCCTTAAAGTTTGTAGACAACACAAGTGGTGGTTTCAACTCCCCCACTCTGGGACCAGGTTTTGGAAACATTTGTTCACAGTCTGCGGGTCCCAGCAGCTCCTTGTAAAGAACGAGACGAAATACTTTTGTTCTGAAACATCTGAAATGGTCTCCGTCAGAACAGAAAGGGTGAATAATATTAATAATAATAATAATGCATAAGTTTTGTAAAACGCTTTTCAGGACCCTCAAAGATACTTCACATGTCAGTATTCACTTAATATACAGTACTGCTACACTACTACTGAAGTGGGTGAGGTGCCTTGCCTATAGACACAACAGCAGTTTGGGACTTTACAGCCGCAGACACCCCACTGTGGCACCTGGTGTTCCCAGACGTCTCCAATCACAGTGCTGATGGGATGTGGTTTTCGCATTGAGATATGGACACATGGTTCTACAGCCTCAGTCCTGCTGAGCCCACAGGGGTTGGGGACGTGTTGAGCCAAATAGTCCTATAGCTGACCACCCTGGAAAAGCCATGTTTCAGATTCTTCCTCCTGGCAGAATATATTGTATTATACACAGGACATCTCATTTTGCAAATAGCTTATTTCCATTAACTGGCATCAGTTTAAACAGTGTACTTTAATAATCTTGAAACTGTTTTAGTAGATCGATTTCACAAAGTCAATTGTCTTCCTGTACTTTTAATCTTTATCTATGTACTATTTGTACAATCTTGTGCACTCTGGAGGCTTTTTCAAATGTATTCCAATATGGTTTCACTGCAAATGAAGGATAAAATTAATCTGAATCTAAATCTTGTTGCAGGGATAACAAATAAACATGTCCAGGTCGGTTTTCTGATGAGGAAACTATTGGAACTTTTTAAAAAGAGTATTTTGCGTGTCTCTGGATACACAGACCACCGCAGGCTCGTAATGGTTCATTATTCAGGAGCTTACAGATGTAACTTTGGAACATTATAACAGTCATAAAACGTCAATCAAAATCTGAGAAAAGCAGCATCTTTAGTCCCAGGAGCTCATCAAATGTCCGGAAGCTTTGGTGAATCCAAGAACATTTCAGAATTGTAATCCAACAAACAGAAACCAGTTGAATCTTGTAGCAAAAGGTTAGCATGCCGTCAATGGCAGCTCCATGAAGCTAAAGCTGGATTTGGAGAAAACCTTTGTTCTGGCACAGAGTACAGGTCATGGGTCTGCCAGCGTTAGCATCCCCACAGCTTTGGCCAGGATCCAACCAAAGAAAAGTCAAACAGAGCCACAACTTTTATTTCA